GACAGCCCAAAGTCCGCTAGTTTTACATTTCCTTCTCCATCTAAAAAGACATTTGGTCCTAAAGTAACAAATGCAGAGGTTTTGGAGCAGGAATAGCTTTTACTCAGTTGCAACAATATTAAACCACATACTCGGTTATGACAGAGAACAGTGGAGAAAATAGAACAGATAGGAAAAGGTTGAAGGCATTGTCAGGGATTACTAAACGTTCCAGTAGAAACTTCAGTGCCGCCTAATGTAGGAGTGAGAAATTCATTAAATGTAATTGCAACAATAACTAAATACCATCCTTTTGTCATTTCTTAAAGAAAATTCGTAACGTTTTCGTAACGTCGCGAAGCTATAAAAAGAAAAATCTAGTTGTTTTGCCATAATAAAATTACTGACATGATCTATATTCACGCTTAATTTGTTTTCTAATCCAAAAAAAAGCACACTTTATACTCATTACCTAATTTACGAAACGTACCTTTTATATCTCGGTGAATTACGTTCTGTGAATGCAAAAATTTAATTCCTTGCAGCATTTGATTTGTGTACCATTGTGATTCACGTTCAGGAAGAACTCCGCTCTTTTTTATATGGGCGGATAATGATCCCTGTAGACAACAACAAGAACTTATAAGTTGCTAATTTGGATTTTAAGTATTTAATGAAATTATCATTGTATTCTCATCCAAATGAATATCACACAGTTTAAGGAGGCTGAAAGCAATTTTCCGCACTTTTCAGTAATAATAAACTGCAATATCGTTTTCACGATGTAGTCACTAACGATGTAGATCGCGACGTTTCGACTGCTACGGCTAGTCTTCTTCAGCCAATGAGGTCGACTGATTGCACAGCACCATTTACATTACGAAGGTCAGCTGTGATTGGTGCATTTCGATCCTCCCATTGTTCCATTGTTCCGGTGAGTAGCTATTCCCTCAGCGGTCCGCTGTTGTACCGTTCTCCTGTTGTTGTGTATTTTGAGAGTGGGCATCCATGCTTCAAGAATTTCAATTCTACATATTATTAACCCTACGTGTGTACCAGTGAGGGTCTCGATCAATAAACTTGACCTCGTTCCAAATCGGATAGCGGTCGGTCTAGTGGGCCTGTTCAGAAACGGCGGAGGTCTGGGTGCGAGCAAGTCGTATATCCCTGTCGTGTTCTTTGATACTCTCCTGCATAGGTCTCCCTGTTTCTCCATTGTAAACTTTGCTGCACTCGCAGGGAATCCTGTAGACAACGTCATCTTGTTTAGCCAGGTCGACGGTGTCCTTTGGTCGCGCTAAGTGTGAATCATACGCTAGGTACTGGGAGGACCGAAATGCGCCAATCACAGCCGACCTTCGTGATGTAAATGGTGCAGTGCAATCAGTCAACCTCACTGCCTCGAGAAGAATTGCAGTAAGCAGTCGAAACGTCTCGATCTACATCGCGAGTGACTATATCTTGAGACAAAAGGTACTACTGTTTATTACTGCATCTACCACGATGAACAACAACCACCTTTTCCTCCACTTTTCAGTAGTTATCAATAGACTCAACAATTTCAAATTTTCGAAAATTTAAAGTGGCTGTGAACGTTTTTTGAACGTTTCAAAGTAATGAATTATAAGCGGTCAAAGCTAAAAATATATGTTTTTAACAAGTCGTATTGTTCCTATGGTAACCTAGTTTACCATGAAGCTGACTACAAATTGTTTAACAATAATTGGGCACAGAAAAGCCCTTGCAGTGTCTATTTATAAAGATTTCGAATGAGTCATTACAAGAGATTATGACCATATTCTCTTGGTCATTACAAGACTCGAAGCATCTCCAATGTATTGCTACTTACTGAAACAAAAAAGGTAATAGCAGGAGAATAAACTATCTTATTAAAATGGTCTGTTTACATGGAGGAAAGTTATCTCCAGCAGGAGTGTTACCCTCCTTTGAGTCGCCTTTAAAACGGGTGAACCTTCACCAGCATCACCCTACACCCCAAGTTCTGTTTCCCGAGTTGGCTTGAAGTAAAAGCTGACCTTACTGACAAAGACAAACTTTTTCCGTATAATTAGGCACTTTACCTAGACGTTTTGTATTCGTTTGAAAACTATATCTTTTAGTGTTAAAGGTAGTAAAATTTCAGCCTGTAGTTATAATTAGATATTTGATATTAATATGTAGAACTATATGTTTGAAGATTAATATGTTTTATTGTAAACACTAATACGATTCCCTTATGAAAAATTTCAAGAACAAACAAACAGGTAAACACAGTACTGAAGTAGTTCTGGCTACTGCACTTCGATTGAGGAACCCGACAGCCACACCACATGTAAGTTCTTACCCCAGCCATGAATTCCATTAACAAATGAAGATAACAATCTCTTTGTTCACTTCCATAATATGACACGATTCGTACGTGTCTAAGATTCTTCAAAATGCGTATTTCGTTGTTTAGAGCTTTCACCTCCTAAAAGAATAAACAAATAATTCTAAAAAAGCTATCGTGTTGAGTCAACTGCAATTTCACTTGTTAAATCACTTGTACACGCCTAGGTGGACATAGAGAAGAAATCTGGTTTCCATTACGAACAATGTGTTATAGATAACTTATTGGATCAGCATTTCAGAATATCAGGAAAAATGTGACGGCTGGTTTTCCTCCAAATTTAACAAGGAAATTGTAGAAGGAGAACTAACTGACGAAGATTGACACCTAAAAAGACCGATTCGGTCTCATCAACTGTCAACTCATAGAAGTTGAAGTGAGTAAATTGTGCAAGAAGTATGAGGGTGGGTGGGTACGGAAAGTGCCCATTACAACCCTTTATGACTTTTTGAAAATTGAAATTGTATCAGGAATTTATTTGGCAACATTTTGGTGACGTGTCATTGTACTCAAAACTTTTCGTCATGGCGACCGTATTTGACAGTCATGGTTTTACAAATTTGATATTGGTTCTTGTTTTATTCAGTAAAATATATCTTTTATGCAGGTATGCCTACACTGTTTGGACTTTTTGGCATTTCGTTGATCTTGATCAGTCTTGAGTCATTTTGGTGGTTTTCTGACATCATGAGAAAATCAAGAAACCCACCAATGCGAAAAAAAAAAAAAAAAAAA